GTTCAATTAATATTTGATGTCATTCTTTATTAATTCATTTATTCTCCAACGTTTTCATGTGTTCCAATAACGATTTGGGAAAAGCGGTGCAAAAGTCGTCTGCTTTTATTCATTGTCTTTCGCTTGTCTGCCATTTCAAAGATTGAGCTTGTGACGGGAAAGGAATCTAGAAAGGCTGACTAGGGCTGGTGTTTTTATTAGAGATAAAAAGAATTTATGCAGATTTATATAACTTTGCAAACTGTACTTTTTTTTTTAGTCGTTTAGACATTTAGTATTATTTAGGGGATATTCCGGATTGGGAACAGAATAGATGTATAGCATTTTATTGTGTCGCTTTATTAGATAACTGTTTTGATATGATTGGATCATGTCAAGGCTGACTAGGCGTGTAACAGCTTTTTATTTCTGCCGTCTGGAAAGTTAAGATAGTTATAGCAGAATGATTTTCCGAATTAGTGTTCTACCATCCACGTGTTTTTACTATCAAGCCAGTGACGAATCATTTTAAGATAGTTAAAAGGTAGGAAAAGTAAGTTGACGCTTTTCTCAAAGGCGGGGTGGGGGGCTTACGGACATATCACAAGGTATATGAATACACTTTACTTTTTATACATTTACACACACACACACACACATATATATATATATATATATAGGTAAAGAAAGTCCCGTAAAAATGAAAACCCAGATCAAATGGCAACCAGGAGAGCTTTGAATTGCTGAGAATATGCCAAGACTTAGGGACTCATATCCCTGAACAAGTCGAAGGACCGCAGGATCTAGCTTGAATACCGACAGATAAGCTAATATATATATATATATATATATATATATATATATATATATATATATATATATATATATATATATATATATATATAAACTCAAACTCTAATATTACATGGAATATTAGTGTTTGAGCCTTTTATTTTATATTCTTACTCTGTCCTGGACATTGAGTTCTACCTGGATTCTATCCTCTTAGTATATATATATATATATATATATATATATATATATATATATATATATATATAAATTATTGGTCCTAATTCTTCAGATCTCCATTTTCATACACAAATATGGGTGACAAATTTTTTTCAGGCGTATATTATTTTCCAAACATTACTATTCATTAATCTCTGTTGCAGACGCTTGCTCAAGCACATTTTCATTTTTTCAGTACTCTCAGGGACTTCTTCTTTTATGTTCTGTGCCCCTTATACTTATATTTTTATATATTAATAAATGAGTACATAAATAATTTATCAAATTAAAATGAAATAATAAATCACAATTAAATTGATATAAAACGTAAATAAATTTAAACAAATAAAAAAATGAAAAATTCAACAAAAATAGCAACATTTACACACTTTCGTTTATTAGTTATTAAATTACATCACTTAGCTACTACCATAGTTTGCCTTGTATATTTATGAAAATTTTGGAGCGTTCTTAAAAAAAAAAAAATGAAAACCAAAGGATATTTTTACTTTTGTTTATAAATACTTGTTGCAAGAAAAAAACCTTACATTTACCTTGATAAAGTTTGTCGAACACTGTCAATCTAAAGGCAGAGTCTTGTCTGGGGAGGTAGATAGCTACCCGACTCCGTTTATAAGGGGTCTATAGGATTTTTTACCCGAGCTTACGGGCTCGGAACGCCCTACGTAAAAAAAAAATCAGCTTTATGCCACATCTCGCAGTGTAGGGAGTTAACGACTAAATATCATTTGCCTTGATAAAGTCTATCAGAGGACGAAACGCGTTGGTAAAGTAAAGTTTTATTTTTGTTTTTTTATTCCTATTGTCTTTTGACAGGTATATTTTATTTATACATGAATTTTTACACGCATGTATGTATGTATGTATGTATATATGTATGTATGTGTGTATCTGCGTTCTCATGAACGGTGAGTGTGAAAGTTATATAACAAAACAAAAAAAACAAAAAAAAACAAAAGAAATTTGTTGTGGAGATGGTCTTCTGTCAAGAAGTGACAGTCACTATGTGTACATAACAATAGAAAATTAATATGCCGGGCGTGACAGAAAACTTGCAGAAACCACTCCGATCTCACTTACAAAGTAGGCCAGGCCCTGTACAAAACAACTTAGTTTGACACAAATACAATAAGCATTGCAATTCATTTTCAGGCTTCTAGAGCCATTGTCATTCTCACGAGAAACAAAACATAGATCAAACTTGTCAGCAAAGGTCATACTCGTTTAACGAGTTGACAACTATGATGTATGTATGTATATATAATGCCATGTATATTTGCATATTTCTGTCTGTAACTTTTCGCTTGTTAGAGTTATCGCCCTTTTTATGATAATGGGGGATTATTTCAAGATGTTTATAAAGTCGGAAACTGAAAAGACTGATATAGTGAAAAAGTAGGGTACAATGCAATAACGTTAAAGTGTCACATATTAAAGCCTTCAAAAATCGTAAAGAATTAATTAATAGCCTGAAAGAGCAGGTACCTCTTGAGTCTGATTCTGAATTTCCTTCTCCTAGATAGCTTGCCACCTTAAGGCAAGAGAGATCAGTCAGCCCTGCTATTTAACCCATAGCTGGTGGGGATGGGAAAAATATCAATTTATACCTTTCTCTGATCTCTCCGAGTTTTTAATATTTGCACAAGCTGCATATTACAAAATGGACCTTCCAATTATCATGCTACGACAGGCACCCTTTTGGCTTGTTTTGTTTTGTTTCGTTTTACGGCATATCAACCTCAATGGTTTATTTAATGTCGACAAGATTTTTATTGGTAGTAATATATTTTTCAAAAATGTATTGCTGGTAATATTTTTTCCTTCAAAAATTCATTGCTGGTAATATTTTTGCCAAAATTAATTTCTGGTATTCAAACCTATTTTTACACTTTCATAGTGTTTTGACCCCAGTTTGGGGGTTAACTATTTTGACCATAACTGGGACCCTGGGGTCAGGATGACCTGGGAACACCAGCAATTAAGAGATGGTTCCACGCTCCTCAAATCTTCCTGATCATAGGCCTTGCTGTCGGATGTAGTTTATCGCCTTACCCAGGACACGGATCTAGTTTATCATCTTACCCAGGACGCGGATGTAGTTTATCGTCATACCCAAGAGGGCAGGCACCCGGTGTTATTTGTCTTTGATAATCTGGTAGTGTTTAATAAAGGATAGTCTTGTGCATCTGCATTCATCTACGTAGAAGAGCATCTGCATCTGCTAGTCAAACTTCTATATTTGTGAGGCATATGGCTCAGGTGAACAGTACAGCACTCATCACTTGAGCTGGACGTCGGATCGTGCAATGGGATTTGGAATTAGGTAATCGCCTGTAGCGATCCTGTTTGCAAGCATGAGGCTTGTCGCTTGCTAAAAGTGCGGGCCAAAGTCATATGTGAAGACTTAAAGACTCCAGATTATATATATATATATATATATATATATATATATATATATATATATATATATATATATATCGAATCGATTGCTAGATCCGCTGCTAGGAAAGCTGGTCTACTGTTTTTTGCTAGATGATTTTTCACGCCAGAATCTAGCTAACATATCATTTACATAAGCCTACAATTCGTCCATGCATAGAATATTGCTGCCACATATAATCCGATGCTTCTGCTATTTATCTTCTATCTTATGTTCCTTTATAAAATCCATAGAAGAAACTACATCCGACAATAAGGCCTCTGTTTGGGAGGTTTTGAGGAACGGGAAACCACTGATTAATTGCTTTTGTCCCCAGGTTCACTCTGCCTCGGGGTGGTAGAACCTGTTAAAGTTCCAGCTATGGGCAAATAGTTAACCCCTTAAATGGGGTGAAAACACTATGAAAGTGTAGAAAAATTTTTTTAGAATGAAGGTGCCAGTAATACATTTTCATAGTAAAAAAATTGCAGCATTACGTTTTTGTAAAAGAAAAATTACCATTTTTGAAAAAAAAAATTACAGTCCGAACTATATAGTATAGATCGTTACAATATCACATCTCAGAAATATAGACAGATCCTGAAGAAGGCCGGAGCGTGAAACAACCGAAACGTCGTCAATATGGCAATAAAGATGAAGACAGCTGTCCGAACAATGTAAAACGTTTAAATAGTTACAATACCTATCTCAGAAATATAGACAGATCCTGAAAAGGGTCAGAGTGTGTGACGGCTGAAACGTCGACAATATGGCAATAAAGATGAAGAAACTCCGGACAATGTAAATAGCGTAAATAATTACAATACTTCATTTCAGAAATATAGATAGGTCCTGAAGAAGGCCGGAGCGTGCAACGACCGAAACCTCGTGAATATAGCAATAAAGATGAAGACAACAGTAAATAATTACAATACCTCATCTCAGAAATGCAGACAGATGCTATGATGAAATTTTGTTTTGTTTCTCTTGTCTCTTCACCTTAACGAATAAAATGCACGCACAGAGACACCACCATTCGCACTTATATCTATAAGGATATTTTACTGACATGGACACACCACGTACAATGAAACATTCACTAATAAAGCAATAAACATTGATACGACGATATATGAACATGCCTGCACGCGTTTCTTTTGTTATCCCGTGTTTATTTTTACACAGAAAGTCGCAAATACATTCAAACATATTTAAGCGTGAATTTGTCACACGAACAGCTTCACAAATGCAGTTCAATATTCGCAAATTGATAAGCACGCATGTACCTTCTTTCTCTTTTATCGACCATGAGTTCACCACAAAGTCCAAAAAACAAATACATACACATTTGCTTTAAGACACGAATACGTCTGGCAAGGCGTACCTGCGCATTTACAGACGAATAAGCAAAATTCTTCTATTGGTTGAGTCGTGTGCTTAGCGGCCATCTTGTTTCAGTCTCATTGGCTGGGAGTTTATCCGCTTCACTGCTGTCGTCGTCTCGCACCATTTCGTGTCTAACCACACTCGATTTCCTGCAAGAACACCTGATGTTAATACGATAAAAAAGATGAATCTCTTTGCGCCGACTTTTCTTTTACAACGAGAACAAAACGAACGTTTTATTTCTCGGCGTCTCTGTTGCCGGTTTTTACCCTTTTCTTCTTTTTCTTTTGTTTTCTTTTTTCGTCTTCCGCCTGAATATATCTTTGCACTTGAATCATCATTTTTCTTTCTTTCTTTCCTTCCTTCCTTCTTTCTTTTTGATTGCCTGTCATTTGTTCAAGAACATTATTTTATTATGTTTTTTTCTCACCCCATTTCTCTCTCGTGCTTCGGCTTCTTCTTTTCTTCTTCTTTCTCCCCCCGCTTGTTCTCTTTCTTCTTATCCCCCTCCATTTTTATTTCTTTAATCTCTTTCTTTTTTTTTTTCCTGCCTTCATTCTCTTTATTTTTTTTCTTCTCTTCTTTTCTTTCGTGTAAAAAAGCAACTCAAAATAACTTTGAATCTAAGGGTTCTAAAGATCTTTCAATCGATAAAAATATAAATATTGTCAAGAATCAATCGCCCTTTTTTGTTTGCGAATTAAATGTGTTTTTCTTGGCCTTACATGATTTGTTCTGAAAGTTTTCTGATCGGCAAAACATACATCAGTTTTTTTTTAATCCTTTCGCTCCAAGCGAAGCGATAAAGTCACTAAGAAGGACAATAAAAGAACAGGAATTAAGGAAACAGACGATAATGATTGAATTTGCATATTTTTTTTATCAACGTTGACTGGGAGGCAAAAGCCGGAGGAAAGTACCACAAGCGAGAATTGCAAGAGAGGAAACTGTTATCATAGGACTTACGGTTATATTCATGTAATAAGAACTCTATTTAATAATACGTCCTTAAATAAGATTCTCTGTGATGGAGAAGTATGTAATATCTATCTATCTATCTATCTATCTATCTATCTATCTATCTATCCCATTCTGTTAATATGTATATATTTATCTATCTCATTCTGTTATCTTATAAAAGTGTGTCAGAAGTGAAATAGAACATTTAAAAGCCTTTCTGGTTTTAAGTCATTGCAAATCGAATGGGAGAGCAGAAGCAGAAATCTATCTATCTATCTATCTATCTATCTATCTATCTATCTATCTATCTATCTTAAAAATCAGTTCATCCCAAGCAAAGCAATAATGCCACTAAGACACAAGGGGGTCTATTAGGAGTGAAAGAGAATGAAAAGACTTTAGAAGGAATGGAAACACAATCCTAAACAGGAAACAAGGGATAAACCTCTACTCCAGTTCAAAAGATCGGGGAGGAGTGTGAACCCCAGGATAGTCAAAACCTATCTAAAAATATCGAGGAGAAAATAAATAATTAGTGAATAAAATTTCAGTGTTCAGCTGCAGACGTTAGGAGTAACAGAGATGAAGTAAACCCAATCCTAAACAGGAAACAAGGGATAAACGTCGATTCCTGTTCAAAATACCGGAGACAATCTATCTATCTATCTATCTATCTATCTATCTATCTATCTATCTGATTTTGTTCATATGTATATATGTATGTTTTTATGTATGTATTTGTCTCTCTAATTCTACTCCTTTCTAAACGTGTCAGAAATGAAATAGAACTTTTAAAAGCCTTTCTAGTTTTAAGCCATTACAGAGTTCATGGGCAGACTGAAACGGCAATCTATCTATCTATCTATCTATCTATCTATCTATCTATCTATCTTATATACACTGGTGTATAAGTCTACTTCCTGTATAATGCGATCCCAGGTTTTGAGCAATACTAGACGGCCTATTGTAGTCAAATATTGCCATACTGGCCATCACCCTGGATATATTTTATATCAAATAAATGCTCTTCATTCTTTTTTGTGCAAAGCTACCGCGAAATAGTGAGAAAAAAAACCGCTTACCGTAAAATACCTGATACAAAGATTTAATCCTGTACTTTTGTTTTCGTTCAGTCCTGACTACGGTAGCTCTTTTACCCGGGGCCTATCTCCTACGTAGCGTAGTTTTCTTCTTTTTCGCTACGTCTATGCAAGCCATTTAAAATCAACAAATATCTTGTACCAATGAAGAATTAATAGATTTTTCTCCTATCTCAATTTTGCATTCATCTTCGTTTCGCAAATGTTTACATCGCTGAGGTATAGCCTTTCCAATGACAAACTTTTTGTTAGGGTGAGCGGTACATAATGCACGGTATCCCACCGGTTAAGGTGCATACTCTGGGTGATAATAATTCATGTGATTCTACGTAAAAAGTATTTCATACACATCTGTTGTTTTTGTTTTATTTTGCTGGAAACCGAGGTTGTTTTAATATGTGCTTCGGTGCATTGCCGAAGGGCACTCTGCTGCTGCTACTGTTGCTGTTGCTGTTGCTGGTCAACGGGTGTTGGTTAACCTATAGTGATGAAAATTATTATCTACATTTAAAATTTACCCGTGCATAGTGCAGCCGGTCACCGAAAATGCATAATTTTTCACCTCTTCAAAAAAATTACCTATGTATAGTGCGCCCCCTATTTTTGTGTATTTTTTTGATTATAAATACTCGGGCAGATACGGTAGATATCTATCTAGAACTCAAGAGCAACTGTAAAATCATTTCTTATTCATGTCTCCTGTAATCCAGTCAATATAGAAATTAAGTGTTGGTTAAATTGGCTAATTTAATAACATACTAATACCTGAGCTATTTAAGGCTGAATACAGGGCTTATGCTACAAAAAAAAAAACACAATGATTTTATGAAAAGGCAGTCATACGTTTGGTTATACATTACATACAAAGTGGCAAACATGAATTCAGATTTAGGCTTAAGTCAAAACGGCAGACATGGGTCCAGTTATACACTACAGTAAAAAAGGCAGGGATGATTCCCGTTATACACAAAAGTGAAAAAGGCAAGGATGATTCCCGTTATACGCTACGTTAAAAAAAGTCTGGTATGAATCCTGTTATACACTACAGTGAAAAGGACAGGGATGATTCCCGTTATACGCTACGGTAAAAAAGGCTGGGATGAATCCTTTTATATACTACAGTAAAAAAAGGCAGGGATGATTCCCGTTATACGCTACGTTAAAAAAGGCTGGGATGAATCCTGTTATACACTACAGGAAAAAAGGCAAGGATGAGTCCCGTTATACACTACAGGAAAAATGCAGACATGTGCACGATTATACACTACATTTAAAAAGGAAGAAATGGGTCCGATTATGCTGTAAAGTCAAAAAAGCAGACAGTTTAAGACTGCAGTACCAAATGCAGACATGTGTCCTGTTTTAGACTAAAGTTAAAATACAGACTTAAGACCGATTATACAATACAGTCAGAAAAGAAGACATGAATCCGGCTAACACTACAATGGAAAAGAAGGTATGATTCCGGTTATACACTAAATTAAAAAATGGCTGACAAATGCACGTTACTGTGTAGAGATAAAAAAAAGACGATTATGTCGCTTTGATCGAGATGAAGTAGGGTTTTGGTCACGAGACGGTCGCATAGTTATGTCAGTTCATAGACTGACGAAGGTGGTTTGTTGTCAGTCACTCAGCTTCCAAGAGTCAAACAGAGCAGTTGTTTTTTGTTTTTTTTGGCAGGGCGTAGCCTTGCCTCCCCTCGCCCAGGCCAGCTGTCACGTAGGGCAGCTCACCTGACTGCACTACATGGCACCGGCTTGCAGTCTCCATGCTGGAGAAATATTCACGATTCGCTGCTCTCTTGTTTGAGAAATATGTCTTCGCTAGTGACATAGAAGATAAACCCGACCCGCTTGAATCCTCGTTGGGGAATATAAATAGGACTTATCCAGATATACAGAAGAATTCACTGGCAACTAGAATTCCCGATAGGAAAATTTTACAAGTAAGACTCTCTCTCTCTCTCTCTCTCTGTCTCTGTTCGTCATACATGTGTTATAATTTCTCTGTGTTTCCCGTTGCTTTTCTTTCAGATATTCCGTTCCGTCCGTATCTTAAGATGTTATTATATCCTGGATATAATAATACCCATAAAGGGGGAAACGCAAATAGGCGAATATTCATTTTTTCCATAGCTCACCCATTATCTGGTGACCCCGATGTGATGTGATATTAACCCCCATTAACTGTCTAAAAGGAAGACGTGGATTCAGTTATACCCTACAGTCACAAAACAGATATAGGTTCGGTTTTAGGCTATGGTCAGAAAGGCATATATGGATCCCATTTTATATCCACATCTTTTCGTATCCACCTTGAACGTGTCTCACCTTTTGAGAGTGATGGGTTGTTTCATAGGACGTAGTCGGTGTATTGTAACTTCAGTTTATAGTGCAGATTAAATATTATTATGAAATTTTAATAAATAAATTAATCCAAGCAAGCAAATCGATATCTTCTTAAATATTTCATTATCTCTGTCAATGAGATGAAATCAGATTGAGTGAAAAGTATTAGTCTCTTTGGAGAAAACAGACGAGAAAGCTTAGATTGTGATTTTCCAAGTGTAACTTAGATGTGACACAAGGCCAAAAATATAGGGCACCCAGTGAGGATCGAACTCACGACTTAGTTGTAATTTTTCTAGCGAGACAAGCTTACTAACAATTACACCGCTTCGAAGTACCCACGAGAAAGTTTCGATATCATTATTAATGATCGTTTTTTATTGTTTGACTTGACTAACAATTCAGGTGTCATGAAAAGAAAAGAAAACAAACAAAAATCAGTAATTGAGTCCATCTTGCTTGTTTATCTAAACAGATAAACAAACTGATTGAACACCAGACATTTTCTTCTTTTCTTTTATGTTTCGCAAATGATACACTTGAATTATTTTTAATACGTCCCAAGCATAATTTCGGTGAGTGATTAGAGGTGATGGAAGACTGAGACACAAGTAATTTTATTATTCAGAATTCACTAGAATTTCGTCTCTTCTGGTGGCTGACCGTAAATCGTTTTAAAAGATCGCTGAAACAGCCAAGAAATCTTGAAATATATGATTATCTACTCGCGTATAAGTCGCACCAGTAGATAGATTAGTTTGCGGTTTTCTCCCAGATAGCTCGCATTATAATCTGGGGAGTTACACGGCCCTTTTTTAACGTATATATATATCTAAGATTTGTTAAATATTTCCACATGTGCACTTTTATTTCAAAACTTTGCTTCCATATATTAAAACATAATAAAAGTGATTGGTTGTAATTGTGTGGGATTTACTTATCGAGTGTGGCGGAGTTGCTCTGTTTAGACGAAAATGTGGATACCGTTAATCGCTGCAGTTTTAAAATCACTTGAAAATAATAGTCTTCCGTCGTAAATCGTAAATTATGAAATGGACAAAGTCCGACAATTATTTTAAGACATTTTTAAGATTTTTTAAAAAGAATGTATAAACATAAAAATGTCTTAAAATAATTGTCGGACTTTGTCCATTTCATAATCTGTGACGTCATTTGTTTACATTTGGATACGCTTTGAGCAGATATGAATGTAAGTGAGAGATTCATGGAAGATTGAAGTTTAAAAGCAGTAAAATCGACCTTGTGGCTCGATCGGTTAAGGCACGTCAGGCTAAATGACGGTTCCGTATAGAATACAGGTTCGATTCCTGTCGGAGGACGAATATTTTCTATGAAAATTTCTCGGACATTCAGGTCGCTAAATGTTATTAATACTGTTTATTATAAAACAGAGCATTTACTTAAATATTTCTATCTATAAAAAGAATGTATAAACATAAAATGTCTTAAAATAATTGTCGGACTTTGTCCATTTCATAATATATATATATATATATATATATATATATATATATAGAGAGAGAGAGAGAGAGAGATAGATAGATAGAGGGAGAGAGATAAAGACAAAAAGAAAACTTATCTTTGCCGACGCATTTAGTCCTCTGATGGACTTTATCAAGGCAAATGTGAGAATTTTATTTTGGGACAAGTGATTATATACAAGAGCAAAATAGGGCACCTCGAGGCGGTGTAACAGTTACCAAGCTTGTCTCGATAGAACAATTACGACTGAGTAGTGATTTCGTTCCTCACTGGGTGCCCCATACTTTCGGCCTTGTGCCACATCTAAGCTACGCTTGGAAAATCACCATACAAGAGCAAAATGTTATTGGTTTTTCAAAAGTTCGAGGATAGGAGTGCTCATAAATATTCATGAAGTAAGCGGAAAAGTTCATGGACGTCAGGTGATACAGTTCAATGCCTGATAAACGAAAGTGAGTAGGAGGTTTTTGTAATATATATATATATATATATATATATATATATATATATATATATATATATATATATATATATAATAAATTAGTATTTGAATTATTTTGCATTGGGTTTGATTTATGTGTTATATGTTTTTGAATAACATGAGTTATTGGATTTTCTTTTAATTTTTTGTATTTTTGTGGTTGTGTATCATGGCTTGGGATAGTAGTCCTTTTTATCGTTTTTAATATTATCTTTTTACAGATATACTATATCGGAAATTTTTACATATATATATATATATGAATAAAGACAAAAGGTAAACTTTTTTTTACTGTCGCGTTTCGTCCCTGATGGACATTATCAAGACTCTATATAAAGATTTTATTTTACATGTATTTATAAACAGAAATAAAAATGTCGCTAGATTTTCAAAATTTACAACTTAAGAACGCACATAAATATGCTTCAGGCTAACTGTGAAAGTCAAGGTAAACTATAAAGTACGCTAAGTGATTG